GTAGCTTTGCGCGAAATTCAAAACAAACAAACAATTAAATAAAGCGTACATGAACAAAGAAAACTAATAAATGAATTACCTAAAACTGAACATAGTGCTACAAGACAAAGAAGAAATTCGTGTATCATTTAATAGATATGCATATGGTTACTTCTCGTGCCATTCGTTAAGTTTGAATGCTGTTAGGAATGGAGTTAACCACTGCAATTGTAGGATTAATGCATTTGTTAACGTTGGTTCGTAGAATTATGTCAAGAAATCTCAAACACACCTAAACTAGTGTTTGTAATAGAGAAAAAGTAGTTGTTATGCTTATAAATATTTTTTTATGTTAAGCACAAAGCAACACAATGGGCTATTCGTGCTCTGCCCACCACGGGTATCGAAACTCAGATATTAGCGTTGTAAATCCGCAGACATACCGCTTTGCCACTCGGAGGCTAAAAATAGTTTTAATGATGTATATACAACGATCGTAAGGCTTAAACAAATGCTACTATTACTGTTAAGTTTTGACGTTTAATGCTGGTATTAGTTTTAGAGATAACAGTTTAGTCTAATAAACGTCGCAGAAATGTTAAGTAAATGATGTTTCTAATTTTGTATAATATTTATAATGTATTAGTCTAATTTTATGCATTAATCAGATCATCAGGATTTTATCTTCTCTTACTTGGATCTCGGTGAGCCCATAAAGGTCAACAGAATACTGATCTGTGTTGGAATTTTTACTGTATTTTATAGGATGGGAAGATGAACTAAACAAACTGAAGAAATGTATGCATTTACTTTTACAGAATTTTATAAGTTCCAAGTTCAAAACAATTCATTAAAGTATAACATTTTCTGGGTATTTTGGTAACCTTAGGTCACTCACTACCTAATATATATTCATTCTTTACGTTTAAGGATCTTTGTTAACGCTAAAGTTTTGCAGCTAATAAAGAACCTTTAGTGTAAAGAAACATTTGGTAGATATAACTAAATAAAACATTGAAACTCAAGAATAAATGACAATAAATGTATGAGAAAAGGTGTAAAACTTAAAGTATTATAGTAATATGAACTTTATCCTCAAAGTACAGCTTGCGTGTAGGGTAAAATGGACATAAGTAAGTAAACAGTAGATAAATTTGTTCCATTATCAAGCAAAAAGATGCACAATCAGCAAAATCTTATGCCCCCACCGCAGGAATCGAACCTGAAATGTTAGTATTATAAGCCCTCAAGCTTATCGCCATATTACCAAATGGTGTTCCATTTGGATTATTGTAAATTCATTACTTTGTTGTGAGTTTACTTGAGAGCTCTTGTCGCCGACCTTTTACACTGAAGATTAAAAAAGAAGTAATAAAAGTACATAGAATTATCAAAATTGCGTATGTAAAATAGCATAATGAAAATACATCAAAAGTGTCAACAAAAGTCTCATGAAATTTCTCACGCATATCTACTTGGGTAGAAAATGTCATTGCGCCATGTTTTCTGAATGCTGATGTTGTTACATAAAACAAGTCAAACTAAAATTATCTATAACGTATGCTCTAAAACTCCAGATTCAAGCTTTAGTTGAACAGCTCTGCTTTTACTAATCAACTGAGATGGCTGCAGCAGTTAACATTATTCTGTCACTAAGACGTTGAGATGGCTGCAGCAGTTAACATTGTTGTTTCACTAAGACGTTGAGATGGCTGCACTAGTTAACATTGTTATTTCACTAACACGTTGAGATGGCTGCAGCAGTTAACATTATTCTGTCACTAACACGTTGAGATGGCTGCAGCAGTTAACATTGTTCTTTCACTAACACGTTGAGATGGCTGCACCAGTTAGCATTGCTGTTTCTCTAACACATTGAGATGGCTGCAGCACTTAATATTGTTGTTTCACTAACACATTGAGATGGCTGCAGCAGTTAACATTGTTGTTTCACTAAGACGTTGAGATGGCTGCAGCAGTTAACATTGTTGTTACACTAACACGTTGAGATAGCTGCAGCAGTTAACAGTGTTGTTTCACTAACACACTGAAATGGCTGAAGCATCTGACAATGTTCTTGTTCTAACCCGTTCGGATTATTGTTGCTCATATTGTATGTTAAGTTGCTTCTCTGTAAACGAACTTTAGTTCTATGATTTGCTCTATATACAATAAAACATGTGACTTTCTAATTCCAGCTTAATACCAAAGCATACACACTTATTTAAGTCACATCTTTTGTGAAACACGAATATACGACAAGGTGCACTACTTCAAGTATAATTGAAAAACCAAGACCATATGATGGTTAACACAGTTATTTGTTGTTTGAAAAAGATAATTCTCGTTTTATCTGACCTTCAAAGTTCCTAAGAACTTGCTTTCGTTCAAGAATAATTCGCCCAAATCGTTTAAGAGTAATGTTATACTATATTTCTAAGTGTAATTAGTTCTGGTTTGTTTGTTTGTAATTAAGCACAAAGCTACACAATGCTCTGCCCACCACGGGTATCGAAACCCGGATTCTAGCGTTGTAAGTCCGCTGTGCTACTGGGAGGCAATTAGTTCTGGAATTTATAAACATTCTACACTTGAATATTTGTGTTAAATACAGGTGAACTAAGATGCTTTGATGTGTTTTGTTTGAAATGTTCCAGCTGACAGTGAAAGTAAAATAATTTGAAACTGTCAAACTACTTTTTGTTTGGTTTTGAATATTCGTGCAAAGCAGCACAATGACTACCTGCGCTATCAGTCGCTAATTTGGAACTGATAAACTGGAGCAAAGGCAGCTAGTTAACCATTTATATCATCAATCATTTGGCTACCCCAACCGAATAGTGGGATTTGACAGTCATTTTTACAACGCATCCACGATCCCTAGAGCGAAGCGCGATTTTGCGGCAATGGGAGGAGAACCGTAAATCCTCCGAATCAAAGCCACTGAGTAACGCCCAGCTTCCGTAAAAGATAAACAAGCATGTCCCTATTATTCATAATTTATTACAGGCTGGATATTTAAATAACAAACTCATTATTTGTTCGAATATTTTACTTACTCTAATCAATTTAATTTTAATATATTTTTTTTTACTTATATAATTTTGCCTCAGTTTGTTTGTTTGTTTTGGAATTTCGCGCAAAGCTACA